CATCAGTTGTGGGATGTGAAATAATATTGAAGTGAACTCATTTAAGCCTAAGTATAACTGTAATTTAATGTTTATTTTATTTTTGAGAGAGAGAGAGAGAGACAGTGCGAGCAGGGGAGGGGCAGAGAGAGAGGGAGACACGAATCGCAAGCAGGCTCCAGGCTCTGAGCCGTCAGCACAGAGCCTGATGTGGGGCTCGAACTCACAAACCATGAGATCGTGACCTGAGCTGAGGTCGGCGCTTAACCAGCAGAGCCACCCAGGCGCCCCGATGCAACTGTAATTTAAAGCAACGTATTTATTTGAATGTATATTTGGGGGAAAAATGTATCTAGGACACTCAACGTGTTATTTCCGTGTGTTTCTTAGGAAAAACTAAATGCAGTTTTTTAAAAAAATGATTTTAAGGAAAACAATGAAGTGAATAATAGTACAGGAAGTATATAGAATGTAGATGGGACCAAAATGAATAGAGATGGGAAGTTTGGAAACTCTGTTCTGAGACCCCTGTCTGGGGTCCAGTCTGGCTCTGGGGTCCAGAACTCAAAACGCGGCCAGAGCCCCGGGAGAGGTGGGGAAACCCTGGGGGTGTGAGGGGCCGTCTGTTTTGGGGGGAGAGCCCTTCAGGCTCTTCCGGGCGGCTGGGAGAGGTGTGCTCCTGTCGTCCAAGGTCAATGAAAGGGCCAGTTCACCTTCCCTCCGAGGCACCGCGCTGGGCATCCCTGGTTTCCTTCACCTCCACCCAGAAGCTTTTGCCCCCGTGATGCTCCCCGGCCCCCAGGGGTGGCCCTCAGCATCGCCTCTACCCTCCTCGGTCTCCAGGGAAGGCCTTTCTAACCCCTTCAGACCCACACCCTCGGCCAGCTGTGATGCTCGAGCTCGTGTGTGTATGTGCGTGTGTGTGTGTGTGTTGGGCGAGGCCCGTGTTGGAGGCCTGTGGGTAAGGGCCTCTGTGTGTGTGTGCACATGCGTGTGTGTGTGTGTGCATGGTTGAGTGAGGGTCTTTTGAAACCGCTGGCTAAGAGCTCCCTCAGGTTGCGGGTCCTGGCCTGGCGGCTTTGTGGTTGTGTGACCTTGAGATAAGGCCTGTACCGTCTCCAAGCCTCTTGTATAAAACGTGCCCCTCTGACGTGTCCCCAGGGTGGTTGAGGAGAAGCACTGGGGAGACGTACGTACCTGACACGTCCTCTGTGCTTAGGGAACATGACCATTGTCACCGGCGTCACTGCAAGGACAGCGGGTGCTAGGGACAGCTACTCCAGGTGAGACAATGCATGAATGGGGTGGCTTTGGGCACTCTAAACTCCTTAAGGAGACCCCCTTTTGGGGCCCAGGCCCTGAAGCCAAGGCCGGGCAGGCCGCCCACAGTCACCGATCCAGGCCACCAACACTTATTTGCCTGCATCCTGGAGGCCTGGCCCCTGCCCTCTAGAGATCATCACCAAGCGATCGCATGGTCATCGGATCACCCCTGTGCGTGCTCCAGGAAGCAGCAGGGCGAGGACTGAATGGCAGCGGATATGGGGCCACCTGGGTGGGGTCAGGGTGGGCTTCTCTGGGGGGCTCCGGAGCTGAGCCACGAGGAGCAGTGACCCGCACAGGAGGAGGAGGGACACTGGTCCTGGCAGAAGGCCTCGAGACACGGAGGGACAGGAGGGGCACGGCCCATTAGAGGAACTGAGAGCGGCTGGTGGGTCTGGAGCCTGGGGAGAGTGTGCGTGCGTGCGTGCGTGCGTGCGCACGAGGGGTCCTGGGCTTCAGATGCGTTGGCTTTGGGGGACAGTGCAGACAGATTTGTGTTTTGAAAAGATCACTCCCGCTTCTGGGAGAATATTGTAGGAGGCAGGAGTAGAGGCCGGGAGACCCGGGAGGAGGGAGGGGTCCTGGCCAGGGTGAAGGCAAAGGAGAAGGGGAGCGTGCAGAGGTGAGAGAGAGAGTCCAGGATGGTGCCAGGTGCCCGGAGAGTGCAGCGTCCTCCAGTGGCAGGTGCTCTGCACACACTGATGGCAGGTGCTCTGCACACACCGATGGCAGGTGCTCTGCAAACACCGACGGCGGGTGCTCTGCAAACATTTGGTGAGTGGATGGTGGATGGGGATTGCCACAGGAACAGGGCATGGGAGGGAGAGTGAGGAGTCTGATTCCGACGTGTGTGTGCACAGTCCTGGGAGCCTTGCTCACACCTTTAAGTGGCCTCTGTGCACCACAGCCCGCCTGTGGGACCTCTGCCGTGCAACAAGGAAAAGGTTCGGTGTGTGCAGGGCTGGGGTCCCACCTCGCCCCTCTCTGCCATGGAGCAAAGAACCGAGGGTCTGCTTTGAAGTTCAAGGTCGTCCCAGAACAAACAGGGAATCTTGGAGGAGGCAGTGACTGCGTGCAGTTCATTCCTTTCCAAGCATGTATGATCCCCAAACTGCGGAGGTCACAAAGGCTTCAGATCAGTCAGGGCTGGCACACCTCTAAATGCCCCCCAACATGGTTTCTGGAAGCTTCTACGTATTGCCATTTATATGTTTATATCAATACATCTAATCATCACAAAAACCTTGCAAGGTGGGTAGGACTATCCTCAGTTAACTGATGAGAAAATGGAGGCTCAGAGACTTGTAACTTAATCAGAGCTAGCAGCTGGACTGAGGCTGGATCCGGGCTGGCGTGTGTCCCCCAGAAGTTGTTCCCTTAACTGCATTCACTCCCACCTCGTCGACTAGGCGAGGGCGGCGGGGGGTGGCTGGGGCCCTGGGGAACAGAGGCAGCCCATGCGGGCCTGTGATGATTGGAAGACAAAGGCCCCGGAACCTGATTCTGAGTAATATCCCACATGAGACACGACTGTCTGCTGGCTCACAAGGACCGTCACCCGCCTGTGACTGAGCCGAGGCTCGGGCATTTGGAGGCTGGGGAGGAAAGGAAACCTGAGGCTGGGGGAGAGGGGGGCCGCTCTGGTGCTGAGCCCCACTCCCTCAAAACAAGCCAGCTCTTAGGAAGTGAAAGACAGCCACTGAAGAGTAAAGTTCCTTTTGCAAGTTTACTTTCTGCCTTAAAAAAAAAAAAAAAAGAAAACCTTTTGCAAGCGAGTACGGTCACCGTGAGAGCACAGAGTGGGTGCTTTCTAGGCGCCTGGACACAGGTGGGGCAAAGGCACAGGTTTCTAAGAAATCCAGGACAGGGACCCTAAACTCTTTTTCCGGCCCGTGATACCCACCTGTGAGGAGAGCGGGGTCAGCAGGCTCACGACCTGCTGTGTGGGTGGCCTGCCCGGCCTCGCCTGCCCGCGACTGCTGTGGCCTGTTGGCTTTCGGGGACCGGTGGGGACTTCAGAAATGCGAGGTCGTTTGAGCTGCTGCCCCGGTTCCCTGGGAGCTTCATGAGCTCAGGGCCCCGGGCAGGAGATGGCCTGGTAGGCAGGTGTTACCCTAATTTGTGACTTTTTCAATGAAACGAAAACAGAAATGAAATAAACAGGAGAATTAGCAAAATCACATGCCTCTTCATCCCTCCCAGGGTGGCCCCAGGTTTGCTAATCGCTGACGTGAAGCGATGCATTTTGGTGGAGGGGTGCGTCTTTTTATACCGAGAAGTTATGCCCAATGAAATTCACCATCTGAACCATTTTTGAGTTGGGTGGCATTAAGTCCATCCACGTCGTTGTGCATCTGTTTCCAGAACGTTCCCATTTTCTCCACCTGGAACTCTACACCCATTAAACACTGACTCTCCGCCCCCACTCCCCTGGTATCCACTGTTCCACTGTTTCTATGAATTTGATGACCCGAGGGAGATCTCCTAGACGTGGAATCAGACAGTATTTATCCTTTTGTGTCTGACTTCTCTTACTCAGCGTGATGTCTTCAAGGTTCATCCACGCTGTAGGATACCGCAAAGTTTCCTTCTTTTTCGAGGCTGAAGAATATTCCATTGTGTGGACAGACCCCATTTTGTTTATCCACGCTCCCGTTGATGGACACTTGGGTTTCTCCCACCTTTTGGCCACTGCGAATCATGCGGCTGTGAACCAGAACGCGTCGCAGGGAGCAGCGTATTCTGGAGAGGACCGCTGGCTTCCTCGGTTGTGCCGAAGTCTGGGTGCAGCACGGCCTGACCTTTGGGATCACAGGGGCTCGGGTGGGAGTGGCCCTGGATGAAGTCTGGCCGCCTGGGTCCCAGGCCCCACTGCTCGGGGAAGAAAAATCCAGCCCCTGGCTTCACTCTCTTTATCTGCCGGGCGCACGATGGACATGAGTATTGTTGATGAGTGTTGATGCCCCAGACGCTGCTGTGCTCCCAGCCCCCCGGGGGCACGTGTCCCCAGAGTAACTTAGGACAGGTTGGTGTCTCCTTCCGCCTGAGAGCTACTGTCACAGTAACAGTTGCCGTGACCGAGTTGAGATGGTGCAGGAGGACAGGATGTGGCTTTGATGGGGGCTGTGTCTGGGGGAGCCCAGACGTGACAGTGGCTGTCTGTGTTATCATTTGGTGCCGCCCTGGCCCCGCGAGGTAAGCCTCAGGGATGCAGCCTTGTGGGTGGCCGACTGAGTAAACTGGTCTTCCTGTCCTCAGGTCCAGCTGGGAGCTCCCGGACCTCCAGGAGGGCAAGATCGAGGCCATCAGTGACTCAGACGGGGTGAACTACCCCTGGTACGGCAACACCACGGAGACGTGCACCATCGTGGGCCCCACCAAGAGAGACTCCAAGTTCATCATCAGCATGAACGACAACTTCTACCCCAGCGTCACATGGGCCGTGCCCGTCAGTGAGAGCAACGTGGCCAAGCTGACCAACATCTACCGGGACCAGAGCTTCACCACGTGGCTGGTGGCCACCAACACCTCGACCAATGACATGATCATTTTGCAGACGCTGCACTGGCGTATGCAGCTCAGCATCGAGGTGAACCCCAACCGGCCCCTCGGCCAGCGCGCCAGGCTGCGGGAGCCCATCGCCCAGGACCAGCCCAAGATCCTGAGCAAGAACGAGCCGATACCGCCCAGCGCCCTGGTCAAGCCCAATGCCAACGACGCTCAGGTCCTCATGTGGCGGCCCAAGTACGGGCAGCCGCTCGTGGTGATCCCGCCCAAGCACCGGTAACGGCCAGGGCGCCCTGCTAGGCTAGACTCGAATTATAACGCTGCTCCTACCCACACCCGCACGGACTCTTCGGTCATTCAGCAAACTACAACCACTCTACCTTCTTGAGCGGGCGGATCTCACTGTGCAAAGGCCCCGGGATGGCCTCCCCCAGCCCTCTTGGCACCTGCTTCCTTTCGGGGAGGGGGAGGCCCGGCCGGGACACCTGACCCCACGTGCCCCTTCACCTCGGGTCTCCTCTCCTGGCAGTTCAGTCATTCACTTGCAAGCCTCCCCGAATCAACTGCTTTTTCAGTTTTTCTTCTTCTTCTTCTTCGTTTTTTTGTTTTTTGGTTTTTGTTTTGTTTTGTTTTGTTTTGTTTTGTTTTGTTTTTTAAACACCTCTTTACGAGGTTCAGGGGCGGGAGGAGGCGGAGCTGGTCATGACCCTGACCGGCACTGCTGCTGATCTGTGAGTGGCGGCTCCCCACCCATGGCAGCTCCCTCGTTCCCCCCCCCGTCACGCGGCCTTACGTAGACTCGCTTTGCCAAACTTCTTCTGCCTTAAGCTGAATTTAAAGGAAAAAGCCCCAAACCGACAAAGAAATAGGATCTCTTTTCTACCGGACTGTTCACCTTCTGCTAGAGGTGAGGGAGGGGGCAGGGCCAGGGCCGAGAGAGAGGGTGCCTGGCCCCTCCTCCCGGGTGGCTCGTGGTGGGGGGGGGCAGGGGGACAGATTTAGACCTAAAACCAGCTGCTCATTCTTTCGTTTCAGCAGAAACGAAACCAGACAGACCACCTAAAGACCCCTCCCCCCTTCTCTCGGGCTCAGGTGGAAACCCCCGTGCCCCACCCCCCACCCCATACCTGTGCAGAAGGGATCTGGGCTTCCCTCCTCTCTCTTCTTGGCAGCCTTAACTTGCCTGGGGTGGATCTCGGAGGAGAGAAGGAGGGTTGGGCCCAGGGGATTTTCGCCATTCCCGTCCTCAGCACCCAGCCACAGATGGGCCCGCCTTTCCCTTTTCCGTCCACACTGGCCCCAAACGCCTGGAGGGCCGGCCACCTTGAGCCAGACTTAGTTCTAAGGTAAGAAAGGCGGGTGACTTCCCTCCTGGCTCCTTCTCAGGGGATGCCCCTCCCGGGGGCTCTGGGGGAAGCCGAAAACAGGCTCTGGGCGCCAGTGTCGGAGGTTGGGGAGACGTTGTCCCGGGGGGCGGTGGGGGGGGGGTGGTCCCGGATCTGGGGAGGCCGGGAAGGCTGTCGGCAGACACCCCTCTGCTGCTGATTCTCAAGGAAGCAAAGCGGGGCCTCGGGCTGGCGGGGGTCACGTGGGGCCGTGGTTGACAGGCATCGGGGCCACTCCGGAGGCTGGTCGGGACAGCGTGGTCAGTCTGGAGGGCCACCTTCCCTCGGGTCCAGGGTCTCCTGATTCTGTCCTGAGCGACGCCGAGCCTTCTGCCTTGAAGGCTGCTTGCGGGACCTACGAGGGACACCCCACGGAAGCCCCCCTTCCTCCAGCTTGCCAAACCCCACAGCCACTTCACCGGGCCCTGGGTTTCCAACTAATAATAATGCCCAAGCACAGAAAACCGTCAGAAAAGAAAAAGCGTTCATTTCTGCAGCCGATGAGCCACTTGGACGAGCCCCGGTGACAGCGTGGGAGGATGTGGGTCACCTTGCTCTGCTCCTTTATCCACGTGGTAGTATACTTATCCAAGGGGTGCTTCACGTCCAAACTCTCTCTGCAGCCCCGCTCCCGACATCGGGCCCACAGCTGTCCCGGAACAACGGGACTGTGGTTGCCTGCGCGATGCCCGGGAACCCCTGTGTCAGGCCTAGCACCTTCCCCCTGTGCCCCTTGGTGTGTTGAGACCCAGTCACCCGGGGAGGCCTGAGCCTCGAGTGAGAGGGACGATGGGTCCCAGCTCTACCTCTGGGGAAGGGCCAGGCCGGGAGCGGGTGGGCGGGGGGCCAGGGTGACGGCGTCCTGATGCCGTGGACAGGACCTGGCCTCCTAACGGAGTGGCCCTTCTCTGCACTCAGGTCTTTCTTGCACTAAAAAAGGAGGAAGGGCCCTGGGCGAGGGGTCAGGAAGCTGGAGTTCTGGTTCTGGGCTGGGTCACCACGAAGGGGATCTTACTGTGCTAGGGGGTGGCCATGAGCTGCTGGGGGCGGCATCCCGCAAATAGGCGCTCGCTGAGCGTGAGCGAGCCCTCCTGCCAGGAGCCGGCGCTGTGCCCACCCGAAGGGGGCACGCCTGCTGTGGCTGCCCGCCCCCCCACCCCCCCGCATGCCTGGGCCCCAGTTCACCTTGCTCCCTGACTCACCCTGCCCCTCCTGTACCCCTTTCTCTCTGTCCCTCCCGGCCTTTCTGAACACGGGGCTGGAAAGACCCTGGAGAAACGGCAGGTCTGGCCAAGGACACTGGGCTTAGCTTGGGTCTGGTCCCTGGGCCTCCTCCCTGTCGGGAGCACAGACCCCAGGCTTCTCACCTGGGTCCCCAATCCCTCCGGTGTCCCCGTTTCCTGGCGTGGACACACTCCTCCAGCAATAAGGACCATCCGTGGTCGTGGAGAGTACTGTGAAAACAAACCAATGCACTTACCAGGAGGCACAAGACTCTTGAAGAACATGTAATATTAACCTTTTTGAAAAACAACAAATATTCACAAAGAGAAATAAAATGTAATTTTAAAGTAGGCCTGGCTAGGGTCTGGATGTTTCTAAAGTGCTGGTTCATTTTGGGGTCCACGGGCCTGTATTGTGGCCACGGGAGTGAGCGTATTTGGAGGTGGGTCACCTTATTGACGCGTCCTCCGCTGTCTGCAGCCCTGGGGCCTCAGGTCCCCGCCCAAAGTGCCCCTGGCTGTGCCCCGTGGTGAGGAGGGACCGCAGGCTTGAGGTGGAGGCAGGACTTGAGGGCGGCTTGGCTTTCTGGAAAACAGAAGAAACCCGCGCGACAAGGGGAGTTAGTGCTCAGATGGGGCCCTTACCCCCTGGACCTTGCAAACCTGTCTTCGCATGGAGAAGCAGGCATCAGGACAGTGTCAGTCTAGAACATGGCCCTGTGCCCTGCCCCCAGCCGGCAGGTGACGGAAGGGGGTTGCGTGGGGCCCAAGCCTGCAGAGTAAAAACTTTCTTTTACTGAGAACTTTCTTATGAAAGGAGGGGAGGTGGGTGAGTCCAGAGGTCCTGGAGTGGGTGTGGGCTCTGAGGGCGGGCCATGGATTCCAGGCAATTTGCACCAGTTTGGGTCAGACACCACGCCTCTCCGAGCCCCATTTACCTTGTATGGAAAGTGGCGATTCTTTGGGTAGCTGCCTCCCAGCCGACGTGGTGAAAACACGGGTCCTACTCAGTTTCCCAGGTGTTAACTTACTGAACCCTCACAAAACCAGGTGCTATTGGGATCCCCATTTTACAGATGAGGAAACTGAGGGACAGAGGAGTCGACAAGCTGCCCAAGGCCACGCCTCCGGGAAGAGGCAGAGGTGGAGTTTGAACCCTGGCCCTGGAGCCCAAACCCTTACTGCTGCATGCGCACGCTCAATCTTGGCTTGTTGCTGCGAAGCATACGTTTGGTGCTCAATAAGTATCAATGACTATTAAGAAAGCCCCGTGCCTTTGGCTCACTCCATCCTGGGCTTCCCCGGGCAGGAAATGCCTCTCCCCTCCCACAGGAAGGTTCTGTGCAGCCCTCAGTTCCCTGATGCCCACAGTGAGTCGGGCCTGGGGCTACCCGGTCAGCTGCAGACCGCAGGCTCACCCCTCAGGGTTGGCGGCGGCCTTTCAGCACTGCCCCGGAGGGCAAGGGCCCCCCCCCCCATTCGCTCTGGGCATCGGGGACTCGGTTTCTTCTCTGGGTTTTCCACGCGGCATCCACCCAATAGCATTCTGCATCCTGTCTCCTGGGTCTGAGACACCAAAGCAGGAAATTGCATAACAGGCCCCTCTGGCCGCCCTCCACCCAGATGGCTTATGGGTGGTTCAGTTCACTGCCGAGGTTTGGCTTTCGGTTGTGGAGTCGGCTCCTGAGCTCTGCCTCTGGGAGTGCCTGGTGTGTGTGTGTGTGTGTGTGTGTGTGTGTACATGTTCATGCGTGAACACAGAACAGGGGTGCAGGCCTAGCCAGCAGCGGGAGAAAAGCCAAGCTGGATCACATCAGGATTAAGCCAGAGTTGCTCAGGTTTGAACCTTCAGGACGGCACACAGCTGAGGGTGCTCTGAGGGCACCCCTACACTGGGGGTAGCCTTCGGGGGGGGGTGGAAGTGTGTCCGGAGGCTGGCCATGAGTATAGCTGATTCCAAGTGGCATTTAGTCACCCAGTGGAAGCCCTCCCGCCTCTCAGGCTGATAGCAGGTTAAATTTAGAAGTCCCAGACTGGGATGAGACGCAGACACCAGACTCGAGCCAGCTGTCGCAAGGTCCCCTCCAGGAGCAGGGCCTGGGCGAGCCGGCTGTCTGGGCTGGGCCGGGCCCACCTGCCCCGGAATGCCTGGGAGAAGCAGGCACACCAGGACCCCACGTGCAGCCTGCCTGTCACCTCTGGCCCCTTCTGGGGAGAGCCCAGGCTCTGGACTCTGGTTCACTGTCAGGGCTTCAGTCCATAGAGGAAACACCACCTGCTGTGGTCCAAGAGGAAGACAGCTTAATGGTCCAACTGCAAGGCCGAGGGCGGCCGGAGCCGTCAGGCCCCTGGACGTTTCGATCGGCTCACATGTGCCTTCTCACCTCTGGCTCGACTTGCCTCTCGGCCATCTTCTGTCCCGCCGGGCTGGCCCCACAGACATTGTTTCCCACCTGGCCGGGGCCCGGGGCCGGCCATTGCATTAAGGCAAATACCGAAGCACCGTGCACACACACTATCCAAAAGGGCCCGCGCAAGTCCTCAGCGTGCGGCTAAGTCCTGCAAAGACGCACATCCAGAGCGAGCGCTTCGGGGCTGGAGGGCCCTAGAGGTGCCTGTCACCGCGGAGCCCACGGAATACAGAAGGGAAGCTTTGACAGAGGAGGAAACTG